GCCAGTAATGTCATAACTCCGCCCACCAGTTGGGAGGAGAGAGAACCTTATAGTAACCACCCTTCTTTAATCAGTGTCTCCACCACGAGGAATTCAGAAACTGTCCACAGGATACACTGAGGCCCTGGGGACTCTGGAGGGGGCCTGGCTCCTCACAGCCCCGAGACAAATGGCCACACTTCCCATCAGCCACGGCGGTGGCCTCCCGGAAGGGCCTGGCTGGAATGGCGGGAACTTCCTGCTGCTCTGGCTGTGGCTTCCGGGTGTGTGTGAGGTGGGGGGGGGGGGGGGGCGAGGAACTAGCCTTCAGGAGTAGGCCCCTCGGAGTCTCAGTTGCAAACCGAAACCCCGGGCACCCCGTCCCCCAGCTCCCTCCCCGCCGCACTACCCGCGGGCTGGGCTGCCCGCTCCAGCCCCAAAGCTTCCCCTTCTACTGTCTCCTCAGGCGCCCGCCCGCGGGGACTGGCTGGGCCGCAGGGACAGGCCTTTCGGAGGCTGCTCGCGGCTCGGAGAACTTGTAGCCGCTAGATGGCAGCAAGACTCCATCGATGCCCGTCTTCCTTCTTTCCCTCCGCCCTCCGCGCTCAGAAAAAAACCGGCCCTCAAAATCAAAATGCAAATTATCCGCCTGCTGAGGCAAGTCTGTTAGGAGTCAGCATAGCTCCCACTTATATGGAACTTTCTTGTGTTGTTCATCACAGGAAAATCAAGATGCCAAGTGTATGAGTGTTCAGAACTCAGAAAGCATAGGTAAGAAGTTAAATATCACCCCCACTTCACTACCCAGACAGAAATAACCCTAAGTATATTTATGTATGGCTTTGTATAACAGGTAGCATTTTTATGTAGTATTTTCACAAGCAACATTTGAAAGTTTCACGTTGCATGGCCATCTTGGGTCAGTGGTTGAGCATGGACTTAAGAAGCCGGAAGTCAGAGTTCCATTGCCAGTAAGGGCACAACCCAGGGTTTCTTGCTCAATCCCCAGTGGGAGGCCGGCAGGAGGCAGCCTATTAATAATTCTCTCCAATCATTGTGATATCTCTCTCTCTCTCTCTCTCTCTCTCTCTCTCTCTCTCTCTCTCTCATATAAATAGTAAGAAAGAGTTTCATCTTATTCTGCATTTAAAGAAGAAAGAGTTTCATCTTATTTTGCATTATCAAGATCATCCTGCACAGAATACATGGATGAAAGCAGGAGTCCTGTGGAGAGTCACCTCACAGTGTGATCTGACCCTAAATTCCTAACTGGGCAGGTCACTCTCCAGGCATATACTTTATGGAGTGAAAGGTTTATTTTTGCGTGATGCAAGCCCTGTCCATTGTTTCTGTGCCTCTCTAGGTTAACACACCTTGGAAGTAAGCCATAACCACCACCCTTAAGAGAGTATATCATCTTATTAACTACCTTGTAATGCAATTCCCGCCTTGCTTTCTCCCACTTCCATGTAGTCTTCCCTAAATTTCTTTCTTATTCTCAAATGCATCATGAAAGAAGCTGCAAAACTGTTATTCTTCAGAGTATTTGAATACTTGTTCCCAGGCATGTGTCCGCATTTTGGCTCATATAAACTCTTCATAAAATTTTTCATCGTGTTTGAACTAGACTTATTTAGAGTCCATATATTTCTCTAAATCCATTTATTACATCGACAGGATGTACCATATTCTTGACAAGAGTAGTATTTGAATTATTCTAAGAGTTATTCTAGCCAAGGTCTGTACCTGATTGGTTTTGATTTTTTCAAAGATTTCTTTATTCATTGAGGGTTAATTGACATAAACTATCTCATTTATTTCAGGTGTACAATGTCATGATTTGATATTAGCATACATTGTGAAATGATCACCACAATAAATCCAGTTAACTTTGTGGGGGAGAAAGGAACTTTCCTCTATACTCCGTGTTCAATAATCAAATAGACAGAAGAAAATAAATGCTTCAGTCCTGATTAAAATGACATAATTTACCAAATTGCTAAGTCACGTGTAGTTTAAGAGAAATGAGTTTCCTTTCATCTGAAAAACAAAAGATTTTTTTGAAAACTCAAACAAAATTTTTGTAAAAATTGTAACCATTTTTACCAATTCATTGCATCCTGTGCAATTAGACTTGTTCTGCTCGAATCCAGGTTTTGTCCTTTTTAGTTCTCTCTATCTTGCCTGATAATTGATGGTGATGGGATGAGTGATAATCTCAAGAAATCTGCATTGCTGTCCTTCAAAGCTCACATGATTTCCTCAGTGAAGTGGATGTCTAGATTACTAAAGATTGTGAAAGGTATACCCCAAGTGGAAAACAATTTCTTAGCCACGGTGAGGGCATCCACTTCATGACAGGGGAAAGCTTTAACTCATGCAGACAACACACATAGGAGGAGAACACATTGATAACTCAAGCTAGGCAGTGCTTGAATGATGTCCAGATTAAATGTACTATGGTGGATGAAGAAATGCAAAAGCAAAAAAATTTACAAAAGAAAGTGAGGGAACCTGGAAGTGACAACCTTGGCTTTCCCATAAGCCCAATTATTCATGTCATTTACAGCCATTGTTTACCCTGTTAAATGTCTCTGATTCAGAACAGACTGTTGCCATGTTGCATGTCCACCAGAATGGCAAAAGTCGGGAAGGCGGAGTCACTTTTACAAAACCAGGATGATTTTATCCTCGCATGCCACAACATGATAGACAGGTTCATTTGGTTTAGTGTGTCCCTCAATTTTGTTGAAAGGCTTCTGATGTTAAGACATCTCAGATTTCCAGCAATTTCACATAATTTCTGGAATACTTATATACAAATAGAAAATAAAGAAGGCTCAGTTTTTTTTCTTATTTGTAGATCATCCACTTAACCAGAGCGATAATAAAAGATTTCAAAGACAAATACAGTTTAGATAATTGGCAGAAACATTTAGTTTTTAGTATTGACAAGATCTGGTGGGGTTATTTTTGTTTTGTTTTGTTATATTGTTTTTACGTAATGGAGGATCTGATTAAAACAGCATGAAACAGAGTCTTTTTTTGATTGTTTGTTTGTTTGTGTAGGCAGAAAACCCTTGCTAATCATCAGCAGCAAACTAATCATTCTTTATAGCAGAGAGAGAGAAAAAATCTAATTGTGGGACAGTTTACTTTTGATATTTAAACGCTTTCACTCAAATGAATTGATTTTATTCTTCCTCAGTTTGACCACATATAGGATTCCCTTTTCAAAACTTCCTACCTTCCTTACTACAATCAGATTTCTGTCCTGTTTTATCTCCTTCCCATTCTGAAACGACCAGCCTCACTTAAGGACAAAATTAATTTCATTTCCCTCAAAAATACATCTCCATATCTCATACTACTTTGGTTGTTGTTGTTCTTAATCAAAACATATTCTACTTTTATTGTATGCACAGTTGTTTTTCCTATTACTTTTCATTTCTTGTCTTAATTACAGCTATTAAAGTTCTTTACGTTTAAAAGATTAAATTTCTAGTGAAAACAAAGAAAAAGCAGTAGTGAACTATCCTTCATACCGGTACTCATTCATTCTTCCTTTCTTTCAAATTTATTGGGCTGGCATTGGTTAATAACATTACACAAGTTTCCAGGGAACAATTCTATTACCACATCATCTCTATATTGGGTTGTGCACTCACCACCTCAAAATCTAGTCTCTCTCTGACACCATATACTTTTCCATTTTAATTCCCCTCCTCCCTTTCTCTCTGGTAACCACCCTTCTTTAGTCTGTGTCTCCACCACGAGGACTTAAGAAACTGTCTACGGGAGATACACTGAGGCCCTGGGGACTCTGGAGGGGGCCTGGCGCCTCACAGCCCCGAGACAAATGGCCACACTTCCCATCAGCCACGGCGGTGGCCTTCCGGAAGGGCCTGGCTGGAATGGCAGGAACTTCCTGCTGCTCTGCCTGTGGCTTCCGGGTGTGTGTGTGGGGGGGGGGGGAACTAGCCTTCAGGAGGAGGCCCCTCGGAGTCTCAGTTGCAAACCGAAACCCCGGGCACCCCGTCCCCCGACTCCCTCCGAGCCGCACTACCCGCGGGCTGGGCTGCCCGCTCCAGCCCCAAAGCTTCCCTTTCCACTGTCTCCTCAGGCGCCCGCCCGCGGGGACCGGCTGGGCCGCAGGGACAGGCCTCTCGGAGGCTGCTCGCGGCTCGGAGAACTTGTGGCCGCTGGATGGCAGCAACACTCCGTCCATGCCTGTCTTCCTTCTCTCCCTCCGCCCTCCGCGCTCAGAAAAAAAAGCGGCCCTCAGAATCAAAATGCAAATTATCCGCCTGCTGAGGCAAGTCTGTTAGGAACCGACATAGCTCCCACTCTTTTCCTTACATTTATTACGTCTTTGATTAGCAGCCTGGTCCTATACTTTTTGACAGACAACTTTTCCCCTCTCTATTGTTCGTTTGTTTGTTTTTCGAGAGACAGTGGGGCCAAGTCGGGGGGTGGGGGGGCCTTATTTTAATTTTCTTGTTTTGTTCATCAAACGAATGTCTAGCTGACTTATTTTTATTTTTTCCAAGACCATTTAGTCATTGAGGTATACTTGAAATAAACTCTCATTAATTTCAGGTGTACAACATCATGATTAAATAATTGCATACATTGCTAAATGACCACCACAATGACTCTAGTTAAGGGTGTGTGAGGACAAAGAAACTTTCCTCTACACTCAAGGTTCCAATCATCAAAATGACAAGAGACAGATCAGCAAGAGAACATAACCAAATTTAATACACACACGTGTGTGGGAACCCCGCGTACACGTAAGGTCATAGACCCCACATGCACAAGAGGTTCAGAGATGGATAGAGGGATCCAGGCACATAAGACGTTCCAAATTAGAGACGATGGGGTCATGCACCTTTGGGGTCTTGAAGGGGACATTGCAGTATGGTAATAAGAGTAGATGTTTAGTAAAGAAGAGATTGCCCTGCCATATAGGTGGGTCAAAAAGACATTGTGGCTGATGGTGTCTTCTTATGAGCCAGGCCCCTTATTCAAGCTCTTCTAGGTAGTGAAAGGAAGGAACAGAAGACCCTCTGGAGCCTGAGGCCAAAGTTTCCTTTAGCTCAAAATAATCCATATACCAGAGACATATCCTGGGTGACTTGTCTTGAGCCTCTACAGTTCCATCCTCTAAAATTTCACACTCCAGAAGCTGGACTGATAGACCATCCTATCATCAATTCGGTCTCAGTCCTGAGAAAAGTTCTTTAGTTCAGTTAAAGTTGTGTCTCATCTTGGGAGGCGGTGATACCCACCTCTGATGTAAACAATCAGGTATGTAGTGAGAGGCATCTCTATGGAACAAGAGAAAAACAAATGCTAATGATCAGAGCACAACTATAATCCCAGTTTCTGAGTTCTGAAAGTAGGCACTTGACAGTTTCTAGAAGTGCACCTTCACTTTGAGTGAAAGCATGCAGAGAGTCTGATAGATTCTCCTGGCCTGCCCCTTGAATGACTCTGGTGCTAGTGAGCTTTCTGCAAAGGGTGTGGTGATTGTCCATAGATGACTAATGTCTTACATCAACTTGCCACTCTTCATTTGAAAAGTTTATCTTCATTGTTGAAAGTATTACAGATGCCCTCTTTTTTCCCCTTTGAACACTTCTAGACCCCAACCCCCCCCCCCCAACCGCCTCTCCCCCTCCCCGATACCTCTATGCCCAGGAGGCCTTCATGACACTATTGGCTGTGTCCCTGTGTTAGCTCTGGTTTATATATGTATGCATACAAGTTCTTTGGGTAATCTTTTCCCACCCAACTTGTCCCACTTTAGCTTGCCTGGCCTTTGTGAAAAGGGCAGTTTCAGTTCTCAATGACTTCAAGACAAGGATGGAAAACTAAAAAAAACAAAAACTTAGTTTTTTCAGCCAGATATTTAAAAACAAAACAAAACAAAAATCTAGAAAACTTTGAAATCCAGTCGTGTGTATTGGTAGAAATCTTAAAACAACAAACATACAAACTCAAAAGACAATGAAGTGCATTAGAATTAAATATCTACAATGGTATATTATAGTTTGTACTGAAAGAATTTTTCTCTTGAAAATCACCCTCATTTTTCTCTCTATCAAAGATAACTAAATTAGGGCTAATTTACTAGGAAAATAGGTCTAATTTCAATAAACTTGGTGTAGTCATTTGTATAAAGCCAGCAATAATCGTGACTAACCACACAGGCTCTTTGAAATCAGGAAGTTTGTCACCAGGAATCTTCAGACTGCACCTGACAAGGCCTCCAGAGGCCTGAAAAGCAAAGGCAAAGACTGCCAGCCAACATTGTCCTCAATACCTATAGGTTTGGGTGGATTCCTCTCTGCCTGAGGGCCTGCAACTGCCAAGTATTGGCATTCTTTTCCCACATACATGGTAAAGTCGCTCATGTAAAGAGAGAAAGCCAGGTGAGTAAGCTACCTGGTCAATATTTGTGAGACTTGCTATTGGCTTCCACACATCACTCTTTAAGCCTTAAAGTCGGCTGGTTGTCATCTGAGTCTCTGCATGTCTCTGCATGACATTCCAGTCAAAGCCTTGCTTATAAAACCAGTTTCCAATTCTGTCCTGTTATAAGGAGACCTTATATCACATTCATATCAAACTTACACAAACAAACTTATTGCCATGGAGATAATAGTCACTGAGAGGTTCCAAGTTCTGGAGGAATCAGGTAGAGAGAAGAAAATAAATGTTTCAGTCCTGCTTACAATGTCATAATTTACCAAATTGCTAAGTCATGGGTAGTTTAAGAGAAACAAGTTTACTCTCATCTGAAAAAAAAAATTTAAAACCAGAAAGAAAAAGTCATAAAATTGTAACCATTTTGCCCTAGCTGGTTTGGCTCTGCCGATAGAGCACCGGCCTGTGGACTGAATGGGTCCAGGGTTCAATTTAGGTCAAGAGCACATGCCCAGGTTTCTGGCTCAATCCCCAGGGGGGAACATGCAGAAGGCAGCAAATCAATGATTCTCTCTCATCATTAATTCTCTCTCCCTCCTTATTCCTCTCTGAAATCAATTAAAAAATTTTTTTTTTAATGGCAGCCATTTTCCCCAGTTTATTCTGTCCTGTGCAATTAGACTTGTTCTGCTTGAGTCCAGGTGTTTTTTCCCCTTAGTTCTCTTGACCTTGCCTGATATTTGAAGGTGACTGGGTTGGCGATGATTCCAAGAAGTTTGCAGGACTGTCCATCAAGGCTCACATGACTTGCTTAGTTTGATATAAGTGTCTGGATCACTAGACATTGTGGAAGGTAAACTCCAAGTGGAAGACAATTTCTTTGCCACAGTGAGGGCATGAGACTCTTGTGCCACAATCTGATAACTACAGCTTCATTCATTTTAGTGTGTTCCTCAGTTTTGGTGATAGATTCCTAATGTCAATACATCTTAGGTTTCTAGCAGTTTTACATAATTTCTGGAACACTTATAACATATACAAATACAACATAAAGATTGCTCAATGTTATCTCTATTTTAAAATATTGTTTCATTGATTTTTAGAGAGAGAGGAAGGGAGAGAGAGATAAAGACATTGATCATCCAAAACCAGTTTGGCTCAGTGGATAGAGCGTCGGCCTGCGGACTAAAAGGTCCCAGGTTCGATTCCAGGCAAGGGCATGTACCTTGGTTGCGGGCACATCCCCACTGGGGGGTGTGCAGGAGGCAGCTGATCGATGATTCTCTCTCATCTATGTTTCTAACTATCTACCCCTCTCTTTCTCTCTGTAAAAAAAAATCAATAAAAAATTATTTAAAAAAAAATCAGAGCTGAGCCAGCAGAGAAAAAAATAACACTCAGCAATGTTTAAAAAAAAAAAAAAAAAAAAGACATTGATCAGAGGGAAACATAAATCAGTCAGCTACCTCCTGCATGTCCCCTATTGGAGATGAACCCACAACCCTGGCATACACCCTGATGTGGAAATCAACCAGTGACCTCTTGGTTCATGGAATAAGACTCAACCAGTAAGTTATACTGTCCTAGCTGTTATTTCTTGTTTGTCAATGCTTCCCACATAATTTCAACCACCAAAATGAGCTTAACAACTTTAACATTTATCTTACGTAGAGAGAGAAAACAAAACTTTTTAGGTGTTCCAGGAATCCCTCTGGAGTATCCCAAACTTAATCTGAGGTCAAGACTCTATTTATAATTTAAATTTTGGAGAGTCTGTCAAACTTACTAAACTGAACAGTGCATCATTATGAAGCAATACTTAATTGTGCACTTAACCAGAGTGACAATAAAAGCTTTCAAAGACAAATACAGAAGTTTACGTAATTGTTAGCAACTCTAATTTCTTGATATTGAGGAAATTCGGTGGGTTTATTGGTGTTTTTTCAGCAATGGAGGATCTGATTAAGACAACATGAAACACACAAACTTATTGTGATAAAACAGTCTTTTATTTCGAGGCAGAAACCTTCTCACAGCAGTAGTGGCAGACCAATTGCTCTTTACAGCAGAGGGAGAACTTAATCTAATTTTAAACTTTTTTCTTTATTGATTGAGGTATTATATATGTGTCCTTATCACCCCATTGCACCCCCCACCACCCTCACTCATGTCCTCACCCCTGTTGCCTATGTCCATTGGTACATAGTCTAATTTTGCCTCGGTTTACTTTTTATATTTAAACATCCTGCAGGCCCGGAGCGGATGGGCCCGGAGCAGCCGGGCCCAGAGCAGCCGGGTTGGGTGCAGCCAGGCCCGGAGCAGCAGCAGCCAGGCCGGGAGCTGTAGCAGCTAGACCGGGAGAGACAGTGGCCAGACCCGGAGCAGCTGGTTGTGGAACGGACCAGAGCAACAGAGGCCAGGCCTGGAGCAGCCAGGCCTGAAACAGCTCACTCCTTGCCTGCCTCCGCCCCAAGGCTGCCTCTCAGACATGGTTGGAAACTTTTGGGGGAACTTGAGAGTCTGCTGAATCAAGTGATGAAGGCTTAGATCTGGATGTGTTGAGTTAGTATAGCACTGGGGTGTTGATCTGTGAGTGCCTTGTGTGGGGTTTGGATGAGGTTGGTTGATCTATTTGGAAATGTCTTTTGTGTGAAGTGTATCCTTGGGCATGTGGAGGTATTATTGATTTGAGAAAATGCTAAGTAACTGATTTACTATCTGAAAGATTTAAAGTTCTGAAGGTTTAAGGTCTCTTGCCAAAAAGAGGTTTTAAAGCTAACACCTTAATTTTAATGGAGAAAGGGGAAGACAAGCCCTTCCTACCCAGAACAGGTAATCCAATTCCAACCAGCAGCTATCTTTAAACAATGTGTCCATTTACACTTGAATGGCTACGCCTTTTGATAGCCTAAGGGCAAGTTTACATGTAAACAAGTTTGCTTCTCAATTTCCAGGGCAAAAAAAAACAAGGTTTAAAATTATTAGATTTTAAAATTTGTTCTTAGAAGTGTAAAAGTTTATTAATTAAAAAACAACAACAACAACAAAAAAGGAGATTGAAAAACCTGATGAACAATAATAGCTGTTCATTGTAGTAGAGTCGGGGATATGGGAGGGGAGTGGACTGACTGTTCTGGGGAAAGGGATTGGTGGAGGGAGGAAGAGATTGAACATAAACTGTGCACCTATGGATGAGGACAATGAGGGGTGGGGAGGGGGTGGAGGGTGGGGTGAGAACCTGGTAGAGGGGGGAAGAAAAGAAGAACCTTCGTAATAATATGAACAATAAAGATTGATTTTTAAAAAATAATAAAAAAATAAACTAGAGGCCTGGTGCACAAAATCGTGTACTGAGGCAGAGGGGTCCCTCAGCAAGGCCCATGCCCTCTCACAGTCCACCCCTGATGGATCTCAATGGATCGATCCATGGATCACCCCAAAGAGATAGGCCCCACCCACCTAACTGGGGTTCCTGGATGGTTCACCCCACAGAGGGAGGCCCAACACACCAGCCTCAGTACCAGGCAGGGTAGCCTGGGCCTCCCTCTTTGGGGCAATTGATGATGCCCCCACAGAGGGAGACCCCGCCCATCTGCCACAGCCTTTGGTCCATGGCCTGGGTCTCTCTCTGCAGGGTAATCATGGGGCCATGGCTGGGTCCCTGACCAATCGCATTTCATCCACCTGGGCTGGCCTGGTGCCAGTGGGTGTCATAGCCTCCTCTAGAAGGTCCTCCAGAAGGACATCCGGAAGGACGTCCCTAAGGTCCTTCTGCTGTGCATTCTAATTAGCATATTATCCTTTTATTATTAGATTCTCTCCCTCCAATGAATTGCTTTTACTTTTCCTCAGCTTGACCACATATAAAATTTCCTTTCTCAAGATCTCCTTTTCACTCACCTTCTACAACCTTCCTGTCTACATTCAGATTTCTGTCCAATTTTTTCTCCTTCCCATTCTGAAACAACCAGCGTGGCTTTAGGACAAAATTAGTTTCCTTTCCCTCAAAAATCTGCAATTCTCATACCACATTTCTTGTTATTGTTGTTGTTCTTCTTCTTAGTTTCCTTTCCCTCAAAAATCTGCGATTCTAATACCACATTTGTTGTTGTTCTTTTTCTTCGCCAAAACATATTCTGCTTTTCTTGTATGCCCAGTTGTTTTTCCTATTGCTTTTCATTTCTGTGGCTTTAATTGCATATATTAAAGTTCTTCAACTTTAAGTCCTTAATTTCCAGTGAAAACAAAGAAATTAACTGTCTGTTACACCAGTACTCATTCATTCTTCCTTTCTTTCGAATTTATTGGGCTGGCATTGGTTAATAACATTACACAAGTTTCCAGAGAACAATTCTATTATCACATCATCTCTATATTGGGTTGTGCATCCACCACCCCAAAATCTAGTCTACCTCTGACATCATATATTTGACCCTTTTCATTCCCCTCCTCCCTTTCTCTCTGGTAACCATCCTTCTTTAGTCTGTGTCTCCACCACGAGGACTTAAGAAACTGTCCACAGGATACACTGAGGCCCTGGGGACTCTAAAGGGGACCTGGCGCCTCATAGCCCCGAGACAAATGGCCACACTTCCCATCAGCCACTGCGGTGGCCTTCCGGAAGGGCCTGGCTGGAATGGCGGGAACTTCCTGCTGCTCTGGCTGTGGCTTCCGGGTGTGAGGGTGTGTGTTGGGGGGGGGGGGGAGAAAGACTGGCCTTCGGGAGGAGGCCCCTCGGAGTCTCAGTTGCAAACCGAAACCCAAGGCACCCCGTCCCCCAACTCCCACCCCGCCGCACTACCCGCGGGCTGGGCTGCCAGCTCCAGACCCAAAGCTTCCCCTTCCCACTGTCCTCAGGCGCCCCCCCCCCCCGCGGGGACTGGCTGGGCCGCAGGGACAGGCCTCTCGGAGGCTGCTCGCGGCTCGGAGAACTTGTGGCCGCTGGATGGCAGCAACACTCCGTCCATGCCTGTCTTCCTTCTCTCCCTCCGCCCTCCGCCCTCAGAAAAAAAGCGGCCTTCAGAATCAAAATGCAAATTATCCGTCTGCTGAGGCAAGTCTGTTAGGAACCAGCATAGCTCCTACTCTTTTCCTTACATTTATTATGTCTTTGATTAGTAGCCTGGTCCTATACTTTTTGGCAGACAACTTTTCCCCTCTCTATAGTTCGTTTGTTTTTCGAGAGACAGTGGGGCCAAGTCGGGGGGTGGGGGGGCCTTATTTTAATTTTCTTGTTTTGTTCATCAAACGAATGTCTAGCTGACTTATTTTTATTTTTTCCAAGACCATTTAGTCATTGAGGTATACTTGAAATAAACTCTCATTAATTTCAGGTGTACAACATCATGATTAAATAATTGCATACATTGCTAAATGACCACCACAATGACTCTAGTTAAGGGTGTGTGAGGACAAAGAAACTTTCCTCTACACTCAAGGTTCCAATCATCAAAATGACAAGAGACAGATCAGCAAGAGAACATAACCAAATTTAATACACACACGGGTGTGGGAACCCCGCGTACACGTAAGGTCATAGACCCCACATGCACAAGAGGTTCAGAGATGGGTAGAGGGATCCAGGCACATAAGACGTCCCAAGTTAGGGATGATGGGGTCATGCACCTTTGGGGTCTTGAAGGGGACATTGCAGTATGGTAATAAGAGTAGATGTTTAGTAAAGAAGAGATTGCCCTGCCATATAGGTGGGTCAAAAAGACATTGTGGCTGATGGTGTCTTCTTATGAGCCAGGCCCCTTATTCAAGCTCTTCTAGGTAGTGAAAGGAAGGAACAGAAGACCCTCTGGAGCCTGAGGCCAAAATTTCCTTTAGCTCAAAACAATCCATATACCAGAAACACATCTTGGGTGACTTGTTTTGAGCCTCTACAGTTCCATCCTCTAAAACTTCACACTCCAGAAGCTGGACTGATAGACCATCCTATCATCAATTCGGTCTCAGTCCTGAGAAAAGTTCTTTAGTTCAGTTAAAGTTGTGTCTCATCTTGGGAGGCGGTGATACCCACCTCTGATGTAAACAATCAGGTATGTAGTGAGAGGCATCTCTATGGAACAAGAGAAAAACAAATGCTAATGATCAGAGCACAACTATAATCCCAGTTTCTGAGTTCTGAAAGTAGGCACTTGACAGTTTCTAGAAGTGCACCTTCACTTTGAGTGAAAGCATGCAGAGAGTCTGATAGATTCTCCTGGCCTGCCCCTTGAATGACTCTGGTGCTAGTGAGCTTTCTGCAAAGGGTGTGGTGATTGTCCATAGATGACTAATGTCTTACATCAACTTGCCACTCTTCATTTGAAAAGTTTATCTTCATTGTTGAAAGTATTACAGATGCCCTCTTTTTTCCCCTTTGAACACTTCTAGACCCCAACCCCCCCCCCCAACCGCCTCTCCCCCTCCCCCGATACCTCTATGCCCAGGAGGCCTTCATGACACTATTGGCTGTGTCCCTGTGTTAGCTCTGGTTTATATATGTATGCATACAAGTTCTTTGGGTAATCTTTTCCCACCCAACTTGTCCCACTTTAGCTTGCCTGGCCTTTGTGAAAAGGGCAGTTTCAGTTCTCAATGACTTCAAGACAAGGATGGAAAACTAAAAAAAACAAAAACTTAGTTTTTTCAGCCAGATATTTAAAAACAAAACAAAACAAAAATCTAGAAAACTTTGAAATCCAGTCGTGTGTATTGGTAGAAATCTTAAAACAACAAACATACAAACTCAAAGGACAATGAAGAGCATTAGAATTAAATACCTACAATGGTATGTTATAGTTTGTACTGAAAGAATTTTTCTCTTGAAAATCACCCTCATTTTTCTCTCTATCAAAGATAGCTAAATTAGGGCTAATTTACTAGGAAAATAGGTCTAATTTCAATAAACTTGGTGTAGTCATTTGTATAAAGCCAGCAATAATCGTGACTAACCACACAGGCTCTTTGAAATCAGGAAGTTTGTCACCAGGAATCTTCAGACTGCACCTGACAAGGCCTCCAGAGGCCTGAAAAGCAAAGGCAAAGACTGCCAGCCAACATTGTCCTCAATACCTATAGGTTTGGGTGGATTCCTCTCTGCCTGAGGGCCTGCAACTGCCAAGTATTGGCATTCTTTTCCCACATACATGGTAAAGTCGCTCATGTAAAGAGAGAAAGCCAGGTGAGTAAGCTACCTGGTCAATATTTGTGAGACTTGCTATTGGCTTCCACACATCACTCTTCAAGCCTTAAAGTCGGCTGGTTGTCATCTGAGTCTCTGCATGTCTCTGCATGACATTCCAGTCAAAGCCTTGCTTATAAAACCAGTTTCCAATTCTGTCCTGTTATAAGGAGACCTTATATCACATTCATATCAAACTTACACAAACAAACTTATTGCCATGGAGATAATAGTCACTGAGAGGTTCCAAATTCTGGAGGAATCAGGTAGAGAGAAGAAAATAAATGTTTCAGTCCTGCTTACAATGTCATAATTTACCAAATTGCTAAGTCATGGGTAGTTTAAGAGAAACAAGTTTACTCTCATCTGGAAAAAAATTTTTTTTTTAAACCAGAAAGAAAGAGTCATAAAATTGTAACCATTTTGCCCTAGCTGGTTTGGCTCTGCCGATAGAGCACCGGCCTGTGGACTGAAGGTCCAGGGATCAATTTAGGTCAAGAGCACATGCCCAGGTTGCTGGCTCAATCCCCAGGGGGGAGCATGTGGGAGGCAGCCAATCAATGATTCTCTTTCACCATTAATTTTCTCTCTCTCTCTCTTTCTCTCTCTCTCCCTCCTTTCAGTCTTCATTCCTCTCTGAAATCAATAAAAAAAGAATTTTTTTTAAATGGCAGTCATTTTTCCAGTTTATTCTGTCCTGTGCAATTAGACTTGTTCTGCTTGAGTCCAGGTGTTTTTCCCCTCAGTTCTCTTGACCTTGCCTGATATTGTGTCAATTGGTACCTAATCCAATTTTGCCTCAGTTTACTTTTTATATTTAAACTAGAGGCTTGGTGCACAAAATTGTGCACTGATGCCAAGGGGTTCCTTAGCACGGTCTGTGCCCTCTCACAGTCTGCCCCTGGATGGATCTCCATGGATCATCCATGGATCACCCCAAAGAGGGAGGCCCCGCCCATCCACCACAGCCGCTGGTCTGTGGTCTGGGCCACCATCTTGCGGTCAATGGTGGAGCATCTTCCTTGCCCCCTCCAACTGATGGAACACCCCGCCAGCCATTGGCCTGGGCCTCCCTCTGCAGGGCAATCATGGGGCGATGGCTGGGCCCCTGACCAATCGCATTGCACCCACCTCGGCTGGCCTGATGCCAGTGGGTGTCATAATGTGGTCCTCTGGAAGGTCGTCCAGAAGGACATCTGAAGGACGTTTAAGATCGTTCTGCTGTGCATTCTAATTAGCCTATTACTTTTTTTTTTTAGACTAGCTGTACCCCGCCACGGGTTACTCTTGTCTCAGTCTGGTTAAATGGAAAAGAAAGGAAAGAGAAAGCTCATGTTTCTAATATGTTTAATTTCACAATGCTTTTGGGTATACAATATTTTTTGTTGTTCCATTGTCTGTGCAGATATAGAGGTTTTCTGGTTTGCTGACTCTAGAACACACAACATATAATTGTACATGTGAGCAGCAATCCGTGTATAGATCTAAACCGCACAATTCTATCAGTTGGAATCATGGGAATGTGACGAATGAAGACATCTTCACCTTTGAAAGGTCCTGTCAAGGTTGTTGCTTCTAAGACATTACTCATTTTTTTTTACTGCAAGTTGCGTGCAATTGCAAAGCTTTGGCTGGTTGATATTTCGCAACATAATAATTGGCAATTTTAAATTGCAGTATGTGCGGTGGCATCCCTGGCAGGTCGAGTGAATTAAAAAATTCTGTTGCAAAAATTTTTTTTTTTTAAATTCTGTTGCATAATTAACAGCTTCATCTGCTTCCATAACAGTGTCGACGGACTTGTATGTGACTGCCTCGCTTTGAATGTTAGACTGAATAATATTGTTAAGTTCGAAAACATCTTTGTTCGTGGCCGCAAGAATAGCTCATTCACTCAGCCAATCGTGATCCTTATAATTGGTTTGAATATTGGGAAATACTTTTCAACCAATTCTTCTTTTGACATCACTAAATTGCAGAAGTTATGAGGCAATGAAATTCGTCCTGAGGTCAGATCAACCGGCACCTTTCCGTTCCCAATTTCCAGTAATTGATGTGAGAATATCTCAGCTGATCGAATCGTTTTGCAGCTGGACACGCATATTTGTAGTTAATTTTAACGTCTTTACGTGTCGCCACAAAGTAGAATATTTCAAGCAAGCATTTATTTTGTCCGCTGGTGTCAATC